CCCACCTCCACCAGGCACCCACTGCAGTACCAAGGATTGTGGGCTCATTTGTACAACTGAGGGAATTTGTGTTGGAAAAGAAGGGGTGGAAGGGAGGAAATTAAATAAACAGAAAAACTTGAATTTAGAGAAAAAGTTGGTTTTAAACTACTACTGTCAATTAAAAATGTTCTAGTAATTAAAGATAAAAAAAAATCTAGAGCTATTAGAACAATTTTTTCTTCCATTCCCCAGGAACTGTTCACAGCCTGAACAAACTAACAGCATTTCACCTTCATCCCCAAATAGTTTGAATTAAGATTACTCAAAATGTGTCTATGAACACATTTTTGTTTGCAGTTTTGTTCTACAATGTTGCAAATATCCTGTTGATTAATCCAGGAAGCTGGACACAGCTTCAGGAAGACATACTCAACATTTTTCTCACAGGCCAGGTTATTTAGGATCTCTAACTCTGCCCCATAATGGCATCACACGATTTTAATGTCAACTTAATTATATTTGCAAAATCCCAGATCCCACATCACATTATACTGTCTTTCAGAGATGCCTTCTTACTCTCTTTCATACTACGGTTTTACACTAAAAGGAAAACTACCGTCATTAGGTGACCTAAGTGTATTTTCCAAATGTTTCAAAATGCTTGTGTGAATCACTAAAAAACACTATCAGGTAGATCAAAGCATCTGCAGAAAAGCTATAATTCTACATTAAATTATGTTGGATTGGTTCCAAAACTGTTGAGTAATCTTTATGAAATGGATTGGTACTTTAATGTCTGCTAATGAAGTATGAACCTAATATTCCCATCTGTTGTCAGACTTTGCTGGCTTCTTGGCTGTGACGGTGTCTCAATCCTGAAAGGATTTCCATGCTGTGAGGTGTTTTCGTTGCTAAAAATTATTTCTCCTGTTCTAAACTGAAATAATATTGTGTGTGCCCCAGTGCCTAGATTCAGTGTTGCAGATACACAGGATAGTCATAAATTTGACATCTTTCAGACCATGAATTCTACGCTCACAATGAGCAAAACAAAAATAAAGCCCCTCCCTCTTTTTCTTATACATTTCCAATGCAAATCCGTATTTCACATAGAAAGTGCCACGCTTGGCTCTGCACCTTACCCTGTGGCCAGGAAATACTTATGGTCCTCCACACAGCTGAACTGCTGCTGTTGTACAAGATGTGGATGCACCTGAGAGCTTGAGGCTGCGAAAGGGATCCCAGCAGACCTCTTTGGGGAGCACAAATTGCAGTTTCATTGTGAAGCATTAGGAGTAAACTCTTATCAGGATCTTGGTTAACTAGAATTACTTCCTTAAAGTTAACAGTGCAGTGATTAATTCTTACAGCATCTGAAAGATCTATTTGGGGTATATGAGGGTTGCACTGAAATATTTTTAGCTTATTTTGATGTACATGATGGGTTCATTGAAGTCAGTTGAGGATCAAGGTCTGCAAATTCCAATAAATATATTTTTTCATGCAGAAGGCAACTACAAAGGAAAGACCAAGGGGAGGATTAACAGTAAATGTTGCATATCACAGGATTAGTAGGTGGGTGGTTGTCTTTGAACTTATTGTGAGAGAATACATTTTATATCAACAGCCATCAATGACATAGAAAGACACAAATAAAAATACCCAGTAATCATTGCCTACTGAAAACAGTTGTTTTCAAACATCTGCTCTCCCACTGAACTACTTTACAACACTGTTTTGACATAAATATCTCTGTAACATCTTTTATCACATAGGCTTCTTTTAATAGTATTCTGAAAGATATTTTAGGTACTTAGTGCAATTAGTAAGCCTACTTGAGCCTTATTTGTACATTCTATTTCCTTTAGCCAGCCGTGGCAAGTCCAAACAACATTGATGGTAGCTGCTATGAAGTGAATAGTGTAAACATAAGGTGAAGCATTAGACAGTTGAATTCTACACTGAATCCTTACAACACCTTACAACACCACCACAAAAAAATGATCAGTTGCAAACAAAGAAGCAAGCACAGTATAAAAAAATAGTAGTTTACTGTTTTAAATTTCTCCATTACACCCTAAAGACAAGTCCTAGATTTTCAATAATGTATGACATGACTGTTTCACTTTTTGCTCTACAGGAAGCAAGACTGGTCTGGCCAGAAATAACATTAGCTGAGTTTTCAACGACTAACAGATTAGTTTATAATAATTTTGTAGATCATGAAGAATGAGCATCAGGCTGGATTAGGTAGGACTTGTTCGACCTGCTCAGTTAAAGGTGGACTCTGACACTTTCAATTTGATTCCAGTCTGCAGTCTGAAGCAAAAGGCTCATCCAGAAAACGATAAGCCCTATGTCTGCCTACCTAGTTAAATTAAGTTTCAGGATATATTTTTCCAACTAAGCAAGTTCCAACTGAATAACAGTTAACAACCTCAAATCAAGAGTTCATTACTGCATATTCCACTTGCATTCCTAACTTTGACCTTGGAACACTGTCTAAGATGGTGAGCAGTAGTAATTCAGTCTCCCAACTACCTCATTCTAAGAGAATCTCTCCTGAGAGCAGGCTGCTAAAGGCAGTTTTGTATTTGACCCAGCACTAGAACAACAAGCTCCATTTCAGTTTGAGTTACAGTTTGGGTTTGGTCCAGAACTGCAGATGGCATCAAATGCAGCTTCCTTCTTGTAAAATCACACATCAGCAGCATTTCTACCTTGGGGAAGATGGCATTTTCAAAAGTGCTTATCACTGATCTTCCTCTCCTTCTTCTTTTATATTTCATACAGGAAAAAACGGGGGAGAGGAGGGAAGAAACAACAACATCCAAATGTTTCTCATAATTGAAAAATTTAAAAAGAGAAAGAGGATACCTGAATTGGCGTTAATCCTATTGGTGGTGCTCAAACAGGTAACCTTTTCAGGTCTCAAAGTTTCTTTCAGCATAACAAATATTTGGGAAAGAAACTTTATCATTTCTGAAGTTAATAGGGGGGCTTTTAACTGTTACAGCATTCTACAAATGTGTACCAACTCACAACAATGTGCCTGAAAGACTCAACTTGTTTTAAGATTACATTGTAATCCTGTGTTTGAAACAACTGCATTATTTGCAATGAATAAATTACTCTGTTTCTCTCCCGTTTTTTTTTTTTTTTTTTTTTTTTATGTAGCCTTATGGCTTCCTCAAAATGTATTATACAAAATAATTCATAGAAACATTGTTGTGAATAATGGTCTCCAAGTTCAATAACAGTATTTTTTATTCAAAATCCAGGCCACATTAGCAACTTCTCATTGGATTTACAGATTATATAATAATGTTTCTTTCCTGTGACTGGTAAATGGAAGAGGAGGACAGCTAGCTAATACCTGCTGCTCAACCAAAGTGTCATTGAGCCCGCTAAGGTATTTTCCTAATTCTGTTTAGTTAAAGTGACAGGAATCTTCATGGGGCTATGTTTTAGCTGACTTATATCTGATTTATACTGAATTGGCTTAATTTGGTTAGTTACTGTAAATATGGATGAGGCCTGAGACTCAGTAATAGATATTTGTGCATGACTGCAATCACGTAATACCAAAGACTTTACACAGTCAAATTTGATTTTGACTGCAAGAGTAGGTGAAAAAAGATCAGGCCCCAGATCACAATACCTCATGTTTTATATATATATGTATGCATACATATATATTTGGTTATACAAACATATATACTTCTGTGAATATCCCTACATTCTCCTGACAGGTAAAATCAAAGATAGAAAATGAAAAATGCCTTCACCTAAGACAGTACAAATTTGATGGCTCGGACATCTTGCAAAGATCACTAAGCTATATAATGGTCTACCCCACATAATGCTACGTTCTTTGCACATACAACTCTATCTGTACAGCAGTCAAGCTGGATGCCTATAGAGATTTTTCCAAGAGGACAGGTCATAGCAGGAATAATTAGTGGGGTTCTGTGTCTCAGGTAGAGGAACGGAGACTGAGAATGGGTGAGACCAGATGGAAGTCTCTCTGCTACCCTTCCACTCCACAAACTGACTCAGCGGGGGAGAGGTCCTCTCCCCCACCTTCCCCACCACGGACAAAGCTGCTGCCCACACAGCCCGATCCCGTCCCTTGTAACCACACTCAGGTCTTCAAGCAAAGTACCAGTAAAGCTGATGGTGACTGGCAGGCTGATGGTGCAGATCTCCTTATCCACTCAATAAACACCCTGCTCCCACATCCCGATTTTCTCTGCAGATTTCCCCTGCTGACATAACAGACCCTTCAGCCTGCCCAGATCGACTGTTAGCTCTCAGATCAAGCAATGGGTGTCAGCTCCTGGCACAACTACATCCTTCTGCCGTGAGATGCCTTCGGCACCGAGGCATTCACCAACTTCAAGCCTGGCTGGTCCCAACCGTGGTAAAAGAGGAAAAAAAAAAATGCCAGAAATCCATAAAAAAAATCTCCTATGAAATTGTCTTCAAAGGCCGACGTCTCCCGGGGCACCACCCAACGGCAGGCAAGGGCCAGCCGCGGCGGCCGGTGGGTTCCGGGCACGGCTACTGCGTTCCGAAGGGCACGTTTCCTGCCCCACGCTGCAGGAACCTCCACTCAGCGGTAACGGCCGCCGGGCGAGGCGTCAACGGCCCTGCGCCTCACAGCGCCGCGCCGCCTCAGCCCGCTCCGCTCGCGGCGGGGGAAAGCGGGGAGGAAAGGAGAAAGAATTTCTGTGGCGGTGGAACTGCCCGCCGCCGCAGCTCCCCCGTTCACCCGCCTGCCTGCCTGCCTGCCTGCCTGCCTGCCTGCCCTCCCTCCCTCCCTTCCCCTCGGCGGCGCCGGGCCCCGCGGCTGCCTCCCGGCGCGGAGCGGCGCGGGAGCGAGGTGCGTTACCTGGAGCTCGGTGGCAGTCTTACCTGTGCGCGCCTCTTCCAATGGCAGCGCACCTGCCGGCCCGCGCCGCCCAATCAGCTGGCGGCTCGTCCCTCTGCCCCGCGCCTTTAGTGAAAGAATCCAGCGCCGCTCGGAAAGTTACCTGTGCGCGCCCGGCCCGGCCGCTCTCTGCCCGGCGAGCCCCACATGCGAGGGGGAGGGGGCTGGGGCTCTACCTGTCCTACCTCGGCGGCTGGCTGCGGAGCCGGGAGAAGGGGGGGAAGGAAAGCAGAATTACCAGTAGCTCTGGTTCTGCCGTCCCGGGCGTTCACACACACACCTTCACCTGCACAGACCTGAAAGTCCAGTTCCGCCAGGGAGACGGAGGCACCGGGAAAAGGGGAGAGAGTTCATTGGATCAAACATGTCACAAGAGACGGACAAGTAAGTGATCGCAGGCACGCCGCTGCTCCCGCTGCGCGGGGCTGGCCGGCCCGTCGGGCTGGTCGGGTTTCCCTCTTGCCGGTGGCGGACGCGGACCTGCCGGGACTGCGCTTCTCCCTCCGGAAAGCGAAGCCGGACCGGGCGGCACAGCAACTCTCAGAGCGCCCGAGGACACGCTGAGGCTCGCCGCCCACCTCGCTTTCCATCTGGCTGTGGGGTTTCTCGATATTATTATTTTTAGCTCCCCTTTGATATGTTTGGGTTGGTTTTTTTTTTGTTTGTTTGGGGTTTTTTTTTGTTTTTTTCAGGGTTGTTTTTTTTTTCCTTCCCCTCACCTCGAGGGTCACTTTTCGGGAAGGAGCTCTCTTCTCCTCGCCCGAGAAGAGCGGAGCGGCCTCCGCCCGCCGAAGGCCGTGGACTTAAAACTGCTTCTTGGCTTTTGTGTTAGCGCAACAAAGGGCTTTTATCCCGGGCCGGGTACGGCCATCTTCCTCCCCTCGGCCAGTACCGGCCGAGCAAGGCAGAGCCGTGGGCTTGTGGAGGCCTGGGTCTCTCCCGCCACCCGCGGCACAAAGTGCTCCCGCCCTGCCCGTGCGCTCGCTGGCTTCGGCTGCCCCAGACGCTGCATGCGGCGCCTTCAGCCTCGGCGTCCTGACCTTGTTTTGCCGGCGGGCCCGCGGCTGCCCGGAGACCGGCGCCTCCGCCCGAGGTTAAAAAGTAACTTTCGCAGTAGCGTCACCGAAGGAGAAAGAAGAGGAGGTGGAAGCTGCTGGGCCCGCGCCCGCCGCAGCCCTTCTCCCGCCCCGGCGGGGCACGGCGGCGGGGGCCGCAGGCCGCGGCGGACGGGCCCGGGTGCAGCGAGGCGTGCGGAGCTGCGTGCCCCGAGGTCGGCGAGGCCAAGGGCAGAGCGGCGATGAAGTGGGAAGGCCCCCGTGCCTCCTGGGGTACACGGGCTGTGGTGCCAGGTTCCCCGGGGGCACGCAGCGGGACTAAGACGGAGCCAGCGGTGGGCTCGGCGGGAGCGGGGCCTGTCCCGGGTGGGTGTCCAGTTCCACCAACGCTTCGTGCCGGTCGGGCACGAACCAGGGGCTGTTTGTATTTACCTCTTCCCCGCCTGCCCCCATGCGCCGCGGGGTAAAGGCGATGCCTGTTCCGCGGTGGCGGCGAGGCGGATGGGCGTGAGGGCCGCGGCCTGGCTGGGAGCGCGGTGGCGGCGGCTAGAGCCGTGTAGCGCTGGGGAGCCGCCGTGAGGCAGCCAGGCGGGAAGGCCATTTTACCTGCTTAGGTTATTAGTGCTTCCGCGGGAGGCGGGTGGGGAGAGTAACGGGGCGAGGAAGATGGAGGGCAGGAAATGGCAGTTTTGTGTTACTGCTGCTACGGTGCAGGTAGGAACCCAGGTCATGAATGTAATCTCGGCTACCCTTGGTGGTGCTCGGATACAAGCTCTTGTTGGGCTCCCCAGGAACCTTTGGCAAAGGGGGTAGAGAGGAGGAGCCTGGTGTTGGAGACGTCGACTGAGAGAGGCTTGGTGACAGCCTGCCTGTCAAGGAATGAAAGAAAGAGATTATCCGACAAAAGAAAACAGCAGGGTTGGCTGCCCGGAAAGAGACAGGACGGTTCAGATGAGAAAGATTTAAAAAATAATTGTATTCCTGTCCTTTTTCAAACACCAGTTGACAGTGGGATAGTGCAAAAAGGTAGTCATGGCATGAAATTAATTGTGGTAGGAGTTGGGAACAAAGTGAAGTTTGACAGTTTGCTCTGAGCTGGGTTGGGAACTTAGGCCTTAGGTGGCCAGATAAAACCAGTAAATCATTTAAGTGGAAGGCAGGGAATAAGGACAGAGCCCCGAGGGATGCTGGTGGAGCCGAGAGGAAGAGCTGAAGGAGCAGTTACTGAGAAGGGAGGGGAACCAGGTGAACTGCGGAAGAGCTGAGAACTGACAAGAAGCAGTGATGTAGGGCACCCCGAACCAACTGTCGATTTCAGAGCTGCACAAAGGTGGAAAGGGGCCATTAAGTTACTCCCTGGACAAGCCTGGTTGTCAGTTTCAGCAAATGGAAACTAAGCTGCAACAGGTCAAATGCAAGTGCTTAAACTTCCTTTCCACTCACTGCCGGAGAGGAACATGGGCATGGAATATGGGGAAAACAACTTTGTATCACATCTGTGAAACAGAACAACAGCACAGTGGAAACCCAACTCATACAAAAAAAAACTAGGACAAAAGTGGTTCCCTTCTGGGTCTAGGACACTACTAAGCTACAGGACTATGCTTCCTTCCCAACAGGAGCAGTATGGCATAGGTGTAAGCTACTGAGACTGAAGCATTAATGCCCTTCATCCCCTGCTCTGTGTAGTGCTGCTGCAGTTACCACTGTGAGCATGTACCCTGAAGTAACAGCTCTTCCCCTGTTGCAGGTATGCCTGTGATCTGTTTCTGGTGTTTAGAAAATTCATAGGTGCTAGGTAAAAGTTTGAAAAGGAAATAGAAGTAAAGAAATCCCCTGGGCTCTCTGTACACAAGTGTAACATGAGAAGACAAATACATTTGTTTTCAGAAAAGATGACCAGGTGGAATGAGATATTAGACTGGTGGAGGGAGTTTTCATGGGAAGGTGGGTGCTTTTTTTTTTTTGGTTGTTGTTTTACTTTTTTGTTTGTTTGTTTGTTTGTTTGTTTGTTTTTGCTTTAATTATATCCAGTTAAAACCTAGTCCAGAGAGCACAACATTCTTTTCCTCCACATGGCCTTTCTTTGACTTAAAACCAGCTTTTCCCTACAGGTAGGACTGGAAAGGGAAGCTCATTTTGAGGTCAGTTAATTTATCAGTGTCATTGGACACGTTTTTGTAGGGTTTGTGCTAGTAAAGTGTTGATGTAGAGGAGTAAGCAGCTGAGGGGATATAGAAAGTACGAAAAGTATGTTCCTGTCTCATCCTTCAGTGGGATTTGCTGGGTTTTCTGGAGAGGTGATGCATCTCATTGCACAACAGCTCCGCAGGCTGCCTGCAGGGTCCCTCTTTGGAGGGAGGAGCAGGGACAGGGTGCTGTAGTATCACCTGCACCAGCTTTAAGAAAGGAAGATGGAACCTTGGGTGAAAATGCTAAAGTCGTTTGATTCTAATGCTGAGGAGCTTGGAAGGGGAGATTATCCTTAAGAACAGTGTGCGTATCTCCCTGTCCTTCCCTTTAGTCTTTCTGCCTTAGCTGAGTCTTGCCTGCTTGCTTCCACAAACTGCTATCAGCCAGAAGAGATAAGGCATGATTTCACATGCATTTTTCAGAGGTCGTACCGACTTAAGCAGGCTGTGGCCACTTGTCCCTGCCTCCATTCCACCCTCTTAGCTGTGTCAGTAGAACTGTTTGTGCAGCTAGAGAACTGGCTCAGGGGCATGTTGGGTTGAGAGTAGCCTGATCTCCTCTTAGAGGTTATTTTTAACATCTGTTTTTCATCGGTCTGGGTGCTTCATATGCAGGTAGGGTACAAGCAAATGACAGGTGTTAAAGATAGAACTGCTCAAACTAGAACCTCTGAAGAAGGAAATGTGTGTCCCTGCCTGTCTGTGAATGTTTTGGAGGTCCATGCAGCTGCTTCTGTTACTATTCAGTTCTCAGGGCAATCACAAGGGGGCACAGGGTGGGAAGAGGGAGCATCCCCTTTACAGGATGTAAAGATGATTCCAGGGTTCACTTCTGCATTTACAGGCTGAAAAGCGTTTCATACTGTGGTATGCAGGAAAATATTATCACTGCAGAACTCCAGAGTAATGGCTCTAGTGCATTAGTGAAGCTAATCAGTGACCTCAATACTTGTGAGGCTTAACAGGGTTTTAGAGATTGTCAGTACTTCTGTGAATGAGGAGCAGCAATTGTACAACCACTTGGGATCTGCCTGGTAAGTGCTACAGCTGTGCCTCTGCTGCTCCTGGTGTTGTGTAAAGTCAAGAGTTCCATGTAGGCTGGGATTGCAGTTGTATGAAGAGCAGGCTTGGTAGCAGGCCTGAGAATGCTGGTTGCTGTGCCTCTTGCTAGCTGGCCAGCCACGTGACTGCGCTGTCAGTTGGGCTCCCAACACCCCCAGTACATGCAAGAGCTACTCAGGACACCAAGTAGATGGGGCTGGGGCATGCTTAGACTGACCACATTAAGGAGGACTTGGGACAGCCTGGGTCTGCAGCTGAGCATATGCTTGTGGGTAAATAACCAAGAGAGTGAGCTCAGAGGTGGGAATGGGTTCAGACCTGCTCCCATGTGTCAGTGGGGGCATGTTCACATCAGCTTGCTACTTGGTGTCTGTGGCAGAACTTGATCTTGGACTTTGTTACAGAGTAATTTTGCCCTGGTTTCCTTTTTCTTCCTCAGTATGTAAATGAAGATGCTGCCTTCATAATATTTAGCTTAAGCATCTAGTACTATAACAATTATAACTTATGGTTTGCTGGGTGATTCTGTGAATTGTTCTTAATTTTTTCATTGAGGGCCAAACACATTTCCAGTCAGCAGATTTTGAGTAGCAGTTAGGTCACAGACTGCTGCATTCCTCAGTGTGTCCACTAAGATGAATTTTCCAACGTCTTGCTCATCTGTAGATGAATGGAGATCGGGAATTGGAGGTGTTTGGTGCTTGTGCTTTTCAGGTGGCAGACATGCTGTCGCAGATGTTCCCCACAAAACCATCCTCTGCAAAGTAGGTGGAAAATCAAGTGTGCAGAACCTTACAGGATCTGCAACCATAAGTTTAACTGAGAGGAGTCAGGATATCAAATGATTATGTTTTGCTGCTAACACTGCTGTCTCTCTGGTGCTGAAGTCTGAGGCTGGGCTGAAGATCAAAGCAGAGAAGAAGGGAGGGGATTTTCCCAGGTCACTTAACTTGATTGTAATGCTCGCATAACCTCTTCCCTTGGAAGGGTCAGCCGAGACATCATTTTTGTCTGGCAGGGACATCTGAAGGGGAAATGATATTACACCAGTTGACATTTGTTGTCAAATATTTTC